CACCAGAATGACGCTTCCACTTCTGAGACGATCCAGATTTTGTACCAGTAGCCATCAGCACAGAGGTTTAGAGTTCTTGGTACTGCGTCAAGTTTCACACCAGCAATCTTCATGTTCACTGCAAGCAAGTCTATCGTCTTGAACAATAAGAGAGCACCATCCATGGCTGTCGCTATTTTTTGAAGAATGGATTTTTTCCATAAGTGGAAAGGCAAACCCAGTAGCTTCAACTTGAAACTCCCGTCACCAGTTGTTATGTATTAGCCGATGGGCACCAGTGCTCTATTGTTATGGTACCCTCTTTCGTTTCTACAGTGGTGAAGTCCATCATCTCCCTCCCCCCCACATCCATTACAGCTTTTTGGTCGTTAAAAGGGATTAATATAACGGTTTGAAGAATCCCAAGTTTGGACGCCACCTCCTCTAGTAATCCTTTCCAGTCATTTACCTCTTTCTTTGCTGACAGAATTAATCTCCACTCCCAAATTCCTTTCTTCCACTCCAGTGAGATCCTTGGTTCTGGTACTGTAAGGGACACCACCATTGAGTCTGGATTTTCATCATTTTCTTCCAAGCCCAACCTTTCTAGTTTTTTCCTTCTTTCTGTCATTTCCTCCTTTCCCAGTACTGCTACCATTTTTTCTGGTACCCTTACTACCTCAGTCTCTCTCTCAACCAGTATCTGGTGTAGCTCGTTTGCAACCATGGTCCAGCCTTGCAGCTTGTTGCCTTCAGGTACTTTAATCCTTTGTTTTTTTTTCTTTTTTTTTTTCAAATCTTTCTTCCAAAGAAATGAACCATCCATTGGAGTTTCTCCTTCTCTCAGCAATGTATTCCCTCCTTGACTGTCTAAAGGTGCTATTCCAGGTCCTGCACCAACTTACATGCACTGCTCCGTCCAGGAAGCTCTGAAACCAGGATATAGCTTCACCCACTAGCAATATCGTTCCTCTTCTTCCTTCCCTTATCTTTATCATAAACTTCTTCTGGTAGACAATTTCTTCCAACAGGAACTCTTTTCTCTCTGCTGTAACCACTGTTCTCCATTTTCCGGCCAGTGAGAAGCCTTCGTTCTCCATCTCCCCTATTCCTTTCACCAGTTCCCTTTTGGAGGGACGATTGAAAAGCAAAAAAAAATGTTTTTTTAATGTTTCATTTTGTATTTTGTTATAGATGAATTCCACTTTTTCCACCATGGTACAAAAAAAGTAGTAAGTTTTAAAAATTTCAGATCTATTTGGTAGCTTTTGTAAAATTATGGCAAAGGTGTTAGCTAAAAGAATGAAGAAGATTCTCCCTTAACTTATATAAGATTCACAAGTAGCGCTTGTGCTAGGAAGACATACATTGGATGGGGTTCTTGTTGCAAAGAAACTTATAGATTCAAGATCAAAGAGGGCGGGTGAGAGATTGTAAAATTAAAAGAAAGGCCATTACCCAATGTTTGTCGTAGCTATTTGGGGTCTTGGGAGGCATGTAGCCATAGACAGGATATTATACGTAACCTTTTGCAATTTTTCCCCACAAAGTAGCTGCTCTCAAAATCTATTCTGTGTTCTCACACTTGTAAGCCTGAGATTAGTTGTAAAGTTGATTAGGAAAAAGTCTATGACCATGTGAATTGGAATTTTATGGACTTGTGCTTGTAAGAATGAATTTTGGCCTGAAATAGAGGAATTGGATTAAGGTTTATAACAACCCCTCATTTCTCCATTCCTGTTTAATGGTGTGTAAGGGGATCGACTTAAGTAGCATCGTGGACTGACGACTGCTACAAGACCAACCAGTTCGACGGACCTTTCAAAAGGGAATAAAGCATTGACTAAAGACAATCGCCGCAGATAGTACCCAAAAAAGCGAGTTTGAGGATGCACTTGTTAAAGACAGAACATAGGGAACAGGCAAACTAAACGCTAAGTACAAAATGTGGGTTCGCGAATTGTACTTGCTAAAGACAAAACATAGGGAACAAGGAACTGCAAAAGCTGTTAAATACGACAGAGCATGTCCCCTTAGAAATGACGCATGGTAGGAGTTTGCGAGCATGGAGTAAAAGTGAATCTGCTTCATGAATCACAGCCTGACACGTGTCACCATATTAACGCCAAAGGATTCGACCCATAATTGACCAGTGAACATTTTGGAATTCTTGATAAATGCATATGCAAAACCAACTCTCTCTTTTTCCTATAAATAGGATGGTCCCTGATGTGATAAAGGAGAGATGTACCCATCTATAGCTAGACATATCAGTGCTCCGATTATTCCTGTAGAGCTCTGATATCATTCCTTTTCCCAATCCTTAAAGTTACCTTTCCCAACTCTTTCCCCCAGTATTCTTCCCTTGCATCCTACTCACTTCCTCCAGAACTAAGACCATCATTACAGTGCTGGCCTTACAGTGTGTCTATTGGTTTCTTAAAAGGCCACATTGGCCTCGGGTAGAGAGATTCAATATCTCCCCTCTTCATTTGTGTGATGGATGCCTAAGCTAGATTCACACAAAAAGCAGTGGATTTTGGGGAAAGAGAAGGGTTGAGTAAAACCAACTCACTATCTGATGATATCATTTTCTAATTGGATGCTTCAACCTTCAGTTCTTAACTACACCACCTAATGGGAATAATTAGATGGTTTGAAGTTGTGTCTGGACTGCATGTTACTATCAGGAAAATTCCATTTTCCCAATTGGTCAGGTGGGTAACATTACTCAATGGTTGATATACCAGGCTGTTCAGTTAAAGAAAAAAATTTTTACTAAAAAGAGTTTACAGCTCAAAAGGTGACAAGAGATCACCCTAGTAACAACCAGAAAAAAGCAACAAAACAGACTTAAATGCAAAACACATCAGAAACCCAGAAAGTTAAGCATTCAAAGAGCTCCAGAAGTCTGCCCCCAAATCTTCTTTCTTTAATCCTTGAAAATCTGGCAGAGTTAACACCCAACCAATGACTGATGAACTGATCCGAGCCACCACCTCTTCCCAACTTTTCTTCCTATTCTCAAAGATTCTTCTATTTCTTTCCTTCCAAATTTCCCAACATACCACAAATGGAATGCAGCTCCACATCAGCTTGACCTTAGAACCACCCTGAACTCTTTGGCCAAGGCCCAATGATTTCAGGCTGGTCTGAGATTGACCACTGGTCCACTTTAAACAGCTTGAAAAAGTAGAATCATATTGGGGAAATGAAGCTGCACCAGTAGAACAAATGCATAATGTTTTCTTCTCCAGATAAGCATAATAGGGCTTACCTGCTTCGAAATTGAAATCCACGACTCTTTATGATGTCCTGAGTCAGAATTCAGTCTATTATTTCCCTATCAAATATCTGGTTGGGGCCCAGATGCTATGCTAGCTCTATCTACGACCTGGTCATTGAAAGGGTAGAAACAGTGGTGTCATGGAAGTTGATTTATCTGCCATCAGAGGGAAACTCAGGGCTCATATGATAACAGCTATACTGTCTCAACTGAATGACATTGCTTTGTCATTTAGTGAATTAGTCATTCAGGAGGTTACAAGCTCTTTAATGTCTGGAGCTAAAGATGGGTTTATTATTGTATCCTTGGATATTTTATTATTTAATTATTTGATCCACTAAAAGAAAAAACATTGTCCTTCAATTCAGTTATTTTAGCCATAAAGGTTGTTGTTTCTCCTTTCTGTATGCCTTTCTAATTATGATTAATTAAGTTGCATGCATTTTAGTTGCGACTTGCAAATACATAAACATAACAGAACAATAATCTGTATGCCCATCTTTTTTTATACATATCTATTACATATGGTTAGTCAAAACACATGCTTCTTAGTTGCCATAAAATATAGGAACTATAGTGGATGACAAGACTAATTGTTATTCACGGTTTTCTGGACCATTTTAATACAATAGGATGATTTTCTTCAATCTTTTCTTTCTTTACAATGTGGGTTCAAGGATAGTTGGTGATTTTGAGGCTTTGTATCATCTTTGTTAGGGGTGAGCAAAAAAAAAAAAAAAAGAACCGACTGAAACCATACTGAAAATTTGGTTAACCAAACCGGTTGGTTCGGTTTTGGTTCAGTATTTTAAAAAACCGAAGGTAGGTTCAGTTTTGGTAACCAAAATAGAAAACTGGCGGTTAACTGAACCGACCGGTATACATATATTTTATATTTTCTATACATTATAAATTTGCTTATATATAAATATATATTTATATTACATAATATATTATTTATTATTTGAAATATAATATTATATATATATTTCTAGTATTTTATTATATATTTATATATTTTTCTATAATAAATATTGTAAATAATAAAAAACTGACGAACCGAACCGGTTAACCGATCAGTTTCAGTTCTGTTTCGGTTACCGCTTTTCCAAAAACCGGTAACCCCGGTTCGGTTTCAAAAATTAGTCCACTGTTTGGTTAACCGAACCGTGAGCACCCCTAATCTTTGTTGGGATTTGTGAGTATCATCATTGAAGGGGATTCAAGGATTTCCATTGGATGATAGATGCCAATTTGGGTCCATGGGGATTCACTTGACTAGATTCATGATTTCTAACTTATTTAGAAGATTTTTTTTTATAGTAAGGATAAAAACTTATTTAGAAGAACTATTTGAAATATTTGAATATTATGATAAATTTTATATATATATATATAAAAAGATCTATGTTTTAGAAAATTTAGGAGATCCATGGAAAAACATTTTGAAGTTTCTAATTCTTTTGATTAAGATATTCCATTAGTGGTATTTCCTTTTGATATGGCAATCAATGTTTCAGATAGTGTTTGGTGTTCCTCATTCCCCCTATGTAATTATGTAGGGGCTAGATGATAAATAATGAATATGTAAAATTCTTCTTTCTCCCTTCATTTCATTCCTTGAAGCTATTCATACACAAAGTTGTAAAACGTTTTTAACTCTAATTTCAAACAAAATTCTCCTTTGCTGATAAAAAAAAAGCTATTCATGAGTCTTCTTTTTCCCAAATGCTAGATTTTTGCTACCATCATCTTTAGATGTGATATGCTGCTACTTCTTGGCCCCATAGGGCTAGAGCTTTTGCTGGTACGTAACTTGCTTGATACCATCTGCACTTCTTTTGTATCATTCTTAAACATTTAGTTTGAAATGTTGTTTTAGAAAGAGGCAGAGGATGCATCCACCCATCATGTCTTTCCCACTGTATATAACAGACTCTAAGAACTGAATCACTTGCATGCTTGAACAAAGTGCACCCTAAATGCTGTAATGTTTTTATCTTATATGGACCAATATCCATACTTGTCAAGGTGTACATGTGATTCTAGGTGACAATAGAGTGTGTAGTTGCCTAGGCAAGAACTTGGGCATTAGAATTGGACAAATAAAAAACCTGGATCTTAGCCTCTTAGGTTAATTTCTCAGTTTTTTATTTCAATCAGCAAGCTTATAAATTGAAAATTAGCGATTTTACTAAATAGCAACAAATTTCATATCAAAATATTGTAAATCATCATATTCAAAAGAAAATAGGATGTTAGACCCATTAATCCAATAATTTGAATGGATTATTATAATCAATAAATATTTAATAGAGTAATTACATGTTAAAAAATATTAGGGGATGGGGTCCCTATTATTTGTATATGTCTGAGAGAGTATTTATTGTATGTTTGTATATGTCTGAGAGAGTAATTAGACAAAGAAAAAAGAAGAAACAAAGGGGATCTTCTCTGTTATCCTTTTTTCTCTAAAAAACCCTTTAAACCTTTTATGTTTCAACAATACAACCATGAAATGAAACATGAATGATATATAACATATGATAGGGTTCCAAACCACAATAATAAGATGCAAGCATAGTAACAATCTTACAATAAGGAGCCTGTCTTAGAATTTTTATTTCCTAGGTAAGCACCTAATAGGTAGGGGTGGAGCTGCAGAGCCCGGGGGTGGTGGAGGGGAGTCATCCCCTCCCCTCCTCCCATGCCTTGAAAATCCCCATTTATGTCCCATTTATATTTTGGCCCCCATCTATGTTTATTAACTTTTGGTCCCCTAGTCCATATTTATTAGCTTTTGCCCCCAAGGGAAAAATCCTGGTTCCGTCCCTAATTCATGGATTTTGGCCTAGTGCCCCACTAAAAGCTCCTTGTTGCCTTGGTGATGCCTTGATAAATTTGGTAGTGTTTGAACATTCTTGTAGATGTATCGTGTGGTGCCATCCTAATCTTGCATACTGAAGAAGGGACAGTAGATAATAAATGGTATATCTGAATCTGATTCGGTAACACATACCCAATATCCGATCGGATCTCACAATTAGACCTGTTCATGGGCCGGGCCGGGCTTTGTTTATGTATCAACAGAATACACTCAGGCTCGTGCCCGAGCCTGGCTTGACCATCGGGCCTAGATCTTGAGCCCAAGCCCAGCCAGAAATCTGAAAACAGAATATTTTCTTTTTTTATTCAATGAAAAGTGTTGTATTTATATTAAAAACCTTCAAAACTCAAAAATAATAAACATCTCACTATTAATTGGAAAAAAAGAGAAGAAAAACAAAGAAAAAATATTGTATGTGTATTTTTATTAAATAAAATATATTTTTATTATTTAATATATAGTATCAAGTCAGGCTTGGGCTCGTGCCAAACATTTTTGAGAAAGCCCGAGCCCGGCCCAAAAAAAGTCAGTCCTAGTGCTTTAGGTCCGAGCCCGTGGGCCTAAAATTATGACTAAACCCGACTTATATCTGGCTGGGCTGGGCCAGCCCATCGGGCTTCCCGGCCCATGAACAGGTGTACTCACAATGGTGATTCGAATCTGGATCTGTTAAGGATGTTGGATATCTGAATCTGATTCAATCTGATTCGAATTATGAAAAATTTAATAAAGTATTAAATGAAAAAACATGAAAGTTTATATAAAGAAAAACAAAAATACAAGTATTTTTTCATCTATTTTCATCATATTAGTATATACATGTCTTTTTATAAAAAATTTACAAAAAATGCAGTATAAATATTGGATTGGATAGGGGGCTGATCCGAATCCGGTCCGTTTTTAATCAGACCTGATTATCCAATCCAATTGAACCCGAAAATCCAACAAAGGGTTATCTGAATCTGACAAAAATAGAATCGGATTCGGATTCGGATTCAGATCGGATCATGATCTGATCCATTTGCACCCCTTACACAATCTATATTACTCTGTAGTCAACATGGTTTTCCTTTTGATAAGTAAAGTGATTACACATCAAATAATGATATTTTGGATTTATTTCCAATTTTTTGGAATAAACAAATTTGTCAATCTTCATATATATATATATTTTTTCTGCTTGATTAAGGTAAATTTCCATATTTAAATATTTAGTTCATCTGTGGCAGACAAGGAAGATTACAGTCTGGGAAGCATTGAAGTGTTGCATTTCTACTGCTCTATTTTGCATAGGTTAGTGGTGAAATTTTATCAATTTAATAATGAGGACTTCTAATTTACATTTGAATTATGTTTGAACAGTAAACAGGGTTAGGATGTTGCTTATTGAAAAAAAGGTTAGAATGTTACTTGTTATACTAAAATCAACTGATATCATCCTCGTTACAGGTCTTACAGTAATGGTTGATACAGTTATGTGGCGGAGATTAGTATGGCCAGAATTTGAAGTGTTCTGGTTTAACTCTGTAATGAACCGGAGTTCTGAGTGGGGTGTATCCTTTTTGGACGGGAAAAGTGCTACTGTTCATGCTAATGTTCAAATGTATATATGAACTTTTGGAATTTTGTCAGAGGATTCATCATGCGATAATTATATGGATGGGGCAAGTACAGAAATCATGTTTATTGATCTTGTGCTCTGTGGGTTTTTAATGAATTTGTAAAATAGAACCATGAAGATATGTAGGTATCATCCTGGTGTTTTTGATGAGCTTGTGAAATAGAACCATTTTGTGGATATCAGCATGCTAGTTTGAGGACACAAATCATTGTTTTTTGTACTCTGATGTGAGTGATGCAAATTCATTCCAGAAGATTATTCTCAAGTCAAAGAAGCATAATTGAAAGATGAAGGTGGTTAACTGAGTTCTCAATAGTTTTTTTCTAATAAGCAAATATCTGAATTAAATATTTTGGAATTTGTGTCTCATAACCAATGATAAATCAGCTTAGATGTGATATAAATAGTGGTTCTATGGATCTACTAGTTATGTTTTAAATCTCAGGTCAATTGGAAAAGCAGTAGAGCATTATTTTGTGTTTTTGGTTTATTGATTTCTCCAGGGTATGTTGCCCAAATCTATGATGTTCATTGGTGGTCTACTGGTCTTCTTTATTTTTAGTTGGGTTTTGTGGTAAATTTTTTTCAGTGCTTTTGGTTAGTTTTTAACATTATAAAATTCAGATTTTGGGATTAATTTTGGAATTTGAGTTATGCGACCACTAGAGTTTGTTTTATCTGATTCTCCATTTGTTTCACATGTTTCTTTTGAGTTTTAGTAGTTTTTTGGAGGAATTTATATGTGGTGATTTTAGTTGTGATATGAATATTTTTTCCTTTCAGGGATAAAGTTTCATGACCTTTTTTTTTTGATCAATTACAGGTAGATTTCATGAAAAAGAGAAGAAAGATACAAAGGGAGAGGTAACCTTTGTTAATTTTCCCTAACAGAAAGCACTCAGAAAATTACAAATGAGGCCAAAACAAAGATACACTATTGACCCCTTGTTTAGGTAACCCATCAGCAAAGGAATTAGTGCTTCTTTTGACCCAAGCCACTTTCACATCAATGTCCTGAGCTAACCACCTGAATTTGTTCTTTTCATTACTGTAAGCCCATGGTCCACTCTTGTCCCCCTTCAACCAATTCACTACCAATTTGGAATCTCCTTGTATTATCAGTTTTCTAATGTTCAAGTCCTTGTCTCTTTGTACACCTTCCAAGGCCACCAAAATCTCATCCCTTAGAGAGTCACATACTCCTATTGGACCTAAGTAGACGTCTAATATTCTCCCTTCCACATTGCTGGATTGCCAACATTGCTTCCGTCAAAGTTCAGCTTGAAGGAACCACTGGGAGGAGTCCAAGACAAAAGAGAGACCTCCCTAGCCGGAAATGAATTGGCAGCACCTTTCCAATTTCTTAGCAGTATATCCAAGGAGAAGTCTTTAAAAGGTTCCAAACACTTGAACCAGTGTACCACCCTGGAGAAAATAATCTCCAGCATCAGTTCTATACTCCTCTCCTTTTCTGTAAAGATTCTTAAGTTCCTTTCTTCTCAAACAGTCCAGCTAATGGCTTCCCTTACACGTCTCTACATTAATTTTCCCCTCTTCTTTGGCCAATTGAAGAAAGTAGAGGCAACAAGCTTTGCACATTCGGTGGCGGAGTCCACCTGCACCCAAACAAAAATAGAAAGCAAACCCAAATACCTTTAACAAAGTTGCAGGAGATTAATAAGTGGTAGCAATTCTCACCATCAGCCTTACAATGAATGCACCAATGAGGGGGGTTAAGCAACTTTTAGGTCTCTTTCTTTGAAGAAAATCACATGTGTTGATTCTTTTCAGGAGTGCTTCCCAATAAAAACTCCTAACCCTTGGTGGAATAGGTTTACCCCAAACCTCTTTTGTAGGAAAGGATACTCCTCTAGTGTTAGGTTGGGTCAGAACTTTGGAAAAGGATGCACAGGTGAACAAACCGGAGGGTAGGGGTGCAAGTTCTATTGTCAACCTTAGTAGGATCCAAGAAAACCCAATCAAGGATGCCCAATAATGTTATAGTACTATTTAACTCAGTGTCCCTAATAACCCTTCTGAATCCCAAATTCCAACCAAAACCAGTGCTCGAGTTTGAAGGTACCAAAAACATAGAAATAGGCTGGTTTTTATGGTTAGAGATAGCATACAAAGAAGGAAATTGATTCCTTGGTGGGGATTCCCCACACCAAACCTCTTCCCAAAACATAATATGGCTATCTGAATGCAAGACATACTTGATCCAAGGCAGGAACAAGGAGAGCATAGCTTGAATGACTTTCCATGGGGAAGCTCTAGAAGTCCTAGCTAGAGTTCCAGTATTCCATCCATTTGCGACAAGCCCATGAATACTAACCACTACCTTAACCAATAGTTTTCCTTCTCCATAGGCAATCTCCACAACTACTTACCTAAAAGAGCCATATTTCTCTTCTGAACTTTCCTAGTACCAAGACCTCCAAGCTTCTTGCTTGTGCACACTATTTTTCATCTAACCCTATGATCCTTTTCTTCCTCCCCTGGCTCCCAAAGAAGGTTCTTCATTAATTTCTCCAGCTTCCTTGCTACCCGTTCTAGAATTTTAAATAGCGACAAATTATAAACATGCAAATTAGCTAGGATGGATCTGATTAGAGTGATTTTCCCTCCTAGTGAGAGGTAATTTCTTTTCCAAGCTACAAGCCTTTTTTCAAATCTTTTAACAACCGAATTCCAGAAGCTTTCTTTCCTAGGGTTATCTCTTAGAGGTAGTTCCAAATAACTTAGAGGCCAATCAGACACCACACAACCTAGAATAGCTGTACATTCTAACTTCTCCCCCTCCTCCAGATTTATTCCTGCAATACATCTTTTCTTAAAGTTCACCTTCAAATTAGACATATATTTAAACAGTTGTATGGCAAGTTTATAGTTTCTAATCCACTTCTGATCACATCCTTCACAAAAGATTTTGAAGAAAAGGTAAAGTATCATTGTATTAAATATGAACAAAAAATGTACAGCATGATGATGTACTTAGGAAACAAGAAAAAACTGTTCCCTCTAAACTTAATCCCCACCCTGCTTTACAAAAAGCTTATCATGTACAAAAAAGGATTTAAAACCCACACCCCTAAACAGCCTGTGACCAGACAACCAAGAAAACATCTTCCCCACAATTTTCTGAAAAATGGAATCAGCAGAGCTTGTCTTGCTTTTGAAGACCTGAGCGTTTCTTTCTTGCCACAGGCACCAAAATACCACTGCTGGGGTTAAGTGTGAGATTCTGTTCCAGATCTCTGAAGAGAAATTGCAGTGCAGTAAAAGGTGGTTCACAGTTTCCAGTTGTCCTTCACATAGGACATAGTTGAATCCAGTACAACACCTTTCCAAGAGAGGTTATCCCTTGTAAGAAGTACCCTGTTGAGGTATGCCGTCCAGTCAAAAAAGAAATTTTTGAAGGCACATTTTTACACCAGATGTGGGTTGGGACTTAATGTCCTTCTGTACTGTTTAAGGCCTTGTAAAAATATTTAACTGTGAATTTTCCAGACTTCTCCCACTTCCATATTCAACTGTCAGCTCTTGCTGACTGCAACTGTGTACTGTTAAAGGAGTTGCAGTAGCTCCATCCACTCATCCACTTCCCAATTGTTTAGATTCCTCCTGAATTGTGGGGTCCAAACCAAGCTACCTTCTTGGATTTGCAAGCTTTCAGCAACTTTAGCTTCTTTGTTTACTGCAACTTCAAACATGGCAAGGACCCTCTTGAACAAAGGCCTCACCCCACACCAAACATCCTTCCAAAATTTGACCCTCTCCCCATTTCCTACCTTGAATTTCACACCTTTTGCAAACAAGGATAAGTCTTTTCAATACCTTTCCAAACCGAGCAACCATAGGACTTATTTGAAGCTCCTAGATCCCAACCAAAATTTCTATCTCCAGACTTGGCCTGCACCACCCTTTTCCACATTCCTCCTTGAATTTCCCCAAATCTCCAAAACCACTTCCCCAGCAATGCAGGATACTTTCCCCTACCAATTCTCCACTCTTATTAAGTCCCTTGAATCTGCTGTAGGAATCAACCTTCCCAAGACATCTGCTACTAAGGTGAACAAAAAAAGAGAGAGAGGACCTCCTTGTCTAATACCCCTCAAAGTTGGGAAAAAATCCACCACTACCCCATTTACCATAATGGAATAATGACATGTCCTGATACATCCCATCACCCACTTAGACCATCTTTTTTCAAACTCAAAGTTATACATTACTTCGAATAAAAAAGACCAGTCCACCAAGTCATGCTTTGTCAAGATCGAACTTGCACACCACCTCTTTCTTCCCTAATTTTTTCAGATCCTCCAAACATTCATTTTCTATTAATATTTGGTCAACCATCTATCTGCCTTGCACAAAGTCCCCTTGGTTAGGTGCAATTATAGCGGGGAGGACTTGCCTAATCCGCAGGGACAACACCTTGGCCATAATCTTGAAGGCTATTTACCAAGCTGATTGGCCTAAAGTCTTTCGAACAGGAGGCATCAGATTTCTTAGGGGCCAAAACTATGAATGTTGAATTCAAACTTGGACTAATAACTCCTCTCCTGTAGAACATTAGAAATTATCAAAAACTAACAAAAGATCCTCCTTCACTATGTCCCAATAGTCTTGGTAGAAAGCCATTGTAAAACCATCTAGCCTAGGTGCTTTTGATCCGTCTGTCAAAAACACTACTACTTTTTTCAATTCTTCCAACTCAAATTTTCTCTTCAACTAATCTCTAAGCCCACTCTCCAACCTTGCCACTCCAATCCATCTACCCACACCATACCGTTCAGGGGCCTTCTAAATAAAGATTTAAAATGATCCACAAAGGCCCCAACTATCTCATCTTCTTGAGTGATAATCGAACTCTCAACCACTAATTTGGAGATGTAATTTTTCCTTGTTCTTCCTTGTTTTCCATCACAT